GATCCCCCGTCCAAGAAATCGTACTGAATATTTAGGAAGACTAGAGCGGACTGTAAGCGTCGAAGTGTAAATTCATTTTTCGGAACTCGTTTTGTTGCTTTGTTGTCAAACAGTTCCGAATGTTACTAATTTTTGTCTCTTTTACGTTATTTACTCTTTTGCAGTCAAAGCTCAGCGGTTTATAAATGTACACATGCTTTCACAGGAAATAATTCTCCATTTCTCCTACAGATGTATTTATGGATTTCGTATGATCCTTAAAATAAAGAGCGATTATTTCCTTAAATATCATTAACCAATTGATCTTTGTAATTGAAATATTTTGTGTTTTCTTTGTCGTAGGAACTGATTGCTCAAATATTATTTAGTTTCGGCTTAAAAAGGCGAATAGCCAGTTGATCTGCGCAATATTGGTGTTCTATGTTTTTTTATTAGCACAGTAATTACGTTGATGTGATTGTAATCAATAGTATTAATTTGTTTTAACTTACAATTTTAAATTCCAGTCTCCTTTGTCTTTATTTTGTGTGTCACGAATTGTTTACATAAAGTAAGTCCGCCTGAAACTTTCTTCGACGCATGGATCGTTGTGAAAAGGAGTGAGTGCAGAGCTCAGCAGAAAATGCTACTCTTCTTGATTGGAACCAATTTAACTTACTGTTAAGTTACATCTCGTGCCATAGTATTTAGCTTTCTGCTACACAAATTGGTCAATTACAACTTTATAAAATTAAACAACTTCTAATCGTTCTACTTCTAACTTAAATAGATAATCGGAACATTGGAACTACCTGTTATACTTAGTAAAAAAATATTCGATTATATTCCTAATGGCCTGCTGACATAGTTACGTAATTTGAAAAGTAGTTGCTATAGTAACCTATTTTCTTCCTTTATGAATTTTCAGTAATTATTAAATATTTGCCAAAGTACCAGTAAGTCTTAATGCTTCTAGGATAGTGTTCCGCTACCTGTTTTTATTCGCGGCACACCTTATTATGCCAAAGACACATGACGGTACACCACAGATTTGTAGCCACACGAAAACGGGGTATAAAACTATACGTGGCCATGAATATGTATCTATATGTAAATCCTTACCCTATGAGAATGCTGGCTTATGAAATGTAACATAACACATGAGGCAGTGTGTGTTTGTTACGAATTATAATTACGATGGATACGGTTTTGCATTTTTTCTAACTCTAAAGTGCGAATATACAATTTTTATAATAGTTCGCGGCACACCTGAAGCCTTGAGGCGGCACATCGGTTGCGGAAGACTGCTCTAGGAATTTTAAGTTTGATGTTAAATGTGTGTTTTTGAGTTGAGTGCAGTTATTTGCAGATGGTCACGATATTTTAGGTTTCTTACGTAGAAGCTTATAGTCCGTCTTTTACACCATTCCTCTTCCTTTTTATAAAACCCGAAACTTCTGTTTTTGGATGTCCCTATAACAATAATTATTGTTTCCATTTCTACATCTTCCTTCCTCTTTTCCTCTTCTGGCCTCCTGACTTCTCTCCGTATCTAAGATCCAGGGTTTTGTGTTACTAAAAACTTTCTCCTCCCTTAATTACTCTGTTTTCCTATCGTAACATTCCATTCCTCTTCATAGCCATTTAGCCTCCGTACAAAATTTGCATTATGATTTCTGATGCCGTAACCCTACGCATATTAATGGGTAAGAGGGGACGAAGAGGCGTGCTACTTGGAGCCTTGTGTGAGGGCCGATACATGATGGCCATCGTGTTCGTAGATACGTGCCTGCAGATTGCAGATAGACAGTGGAAACCCTAAGCAAGGAGAACAATATTAGGAGCTGCTTGGTTGTGTCATCGTGTAAACGTTAGTACACCTACAAATCCGCTCAGCATTCCAGCCCAGAGAACCATCAACTGCATAAAAACACGTAATTTGCTTCGAACACACTGAAGTTCCTCCCAAAGATGTTCCCGACGCCAAGTGACGGGCGGTGACGTCAGGAGATTACGTCGTCGATAACCACTGCTGAGAGCGACTGTGGACTTACATCCCTCTTTCTCGAAACGAACATCAAATGCAACAGCGGTATCTTAGGCCATTGTTGGGACAATGTGATACGAGGTCATTGTTGTGAGATAATAATGACTTCGGTTATCATTGTTGCAACTATCTTTTCCAGCAATGACGTGTCCTGCGAATTGCCTATTTTCAAGGAAAACCACGACAGACAGACAAGGACATGCTCACTCTCACGCTAGATGGCGAAGATTACCCAAAATAGTCTTAGGGAAGTTGGTCGATAATTAGTTAACTTAGGGCCGTTTCACACTGTCGACCGGTCGTTCAGCGACTGGTCGCTGAACGACCCTTTTTTCAACTCCCTGTTTGCATTATCGGGACTTGCAAGGTCCCAAATGGCTCTTCGTGACTCTACGGCCGAAATAAATCTTTCAGTATCAAAACTCATGATATAATGATCACTTGAGTGACATGAACACGACGGGAGAAAACAAGAAACAACGGATATATCACCTCTCTGAGCTCTGGTCGCTGACTGAGTCGCCCGCAATGTGAACACGTGATTGCCATCTATGTATCTCGTGGTCGTTGGTCTCCCGTGCGTCGCTCACTGCATGTTGGTCGACGGCGGCCTTAGTGTGTAAGCTCGTACTTGGCTTTTCTACCTAGTGGTCGTTCAGCGACTGGTCGCCGGCGACCGGTCGACAGTGTAAAACGGGCCTTAGGATAGGAACCTTTGTCTGGCTTTTGTGAACACGGTCATGAATGGTTGGTTTTAGTAGGATAAAAGTAAAGAATTTCTCACTATTTGAATAAGCGTTGGTCCGAAGTACCATGCAAGTAGTTAATTAATTAGTTGTTTGCTTTTAAATGTGTCAATCTGTCAACTAGTCAGTTAATTTCTTGGTTATTTTGTTTCAGTTAGTAAGTTGGTTTACTAGAAATTTAGTCCATTATTAATTCACTTTATTTCGTTGTTTCAAAATGGGTGTTGTTGTAACATGCACGAGATCATCTCAAGAATGATCAGAAAACTGCTAAAAATTTGCAATAATTGCTTACGTAATTGTAGAATGTTGCCTGACATCTGGAGATGAAGAGGAGGCAACTTGGGAGCCAGATATATATATGAAAGGAAATGAAGAACATCTCAAATGACTGTGAGTTGGGGGCAGAGAAAACGACAAACGTGGAACCACAGAATGAGCACAGACGAGAAAAGCTCAGTAATGGCAGAATAACATGGATGGGACAAATTCACATCTGCCATCTTTACGCAGTTCCCATTATCAACCCCGGAGAGGTTAGCTAGCTCGCCATTTTTCCAGATGATAATGATAATGATGATGACTGGAATAGGATCTGAGACTTTCGCTGCGAGTATCATCAATAAAATCTTCTCGGGCAATCAGCGGCGTCAACTGGTTACCGTAGTAAACCGACGTTTCGGGAACCAACTCTGTCCCCGTCATCAGGGTTCTGATGTGACTCACATAGTAAATTTTACCAACGTTTGAGAGGTTCTTGCTGTCTCCATCATCGGGGCAATGATCGTTTTGGTGACCAGACTACACGGTGCTACAACACAGAAGATAGCCGTATTGTTTTAAGGTAGGTCTACTGTCCCAGAAACACCTGAGAAGACTGAGGATAACCAAGAAAAACGTCGGAATAGTCGGCCCCTGTTGTAGGATGGAACCGCAAATTCCCGGATACGAAGCAGGGATAAAGAAGCTCAGTTGTTTTGTTCAGACTAAAGCGAAGGACTTGTACGAGATTGTCTTTCAAAGAATGTTGTGTGTGCAACATAACACGTAGGAATTTATGTCCGATAGGTTAAGTTACGAGTGCCTACCTGATCGCTGTTGTACAGCATAGGGCGTCATACGAAAGTAGATTTACGACTTCAAAATAAAGCCTGTTAAAGTTTATTGATTATTTAGAATGTGGATCATGTGGCAACTGGCGACTTCGACTTCGAACTCAAATCACTTTGAGTATTAAGCATATGTCATGTTAAAATTATCTCGTAAACATATATCGATGATGATTACCAGTCAATTTAATGACACTCACCTGAACACATGAGTAGGAGTCTGCTCTCCAATACAAACAATTGGCATTCTTCAGGTGAAGATTGCTGTCTTGTGGGTTGTAGTGTCGTGTAGTTCGGTAGAAATTTAGCAAAGTTTCAGAGGTTTTTTCTGCTTCCATCATCAGAGCGATTAGTAGGAAAAAACAGCCATCTCCGTACACACCGCTGTGAGATCCTTAGTTCCTAATAAATCCGCAAGCGGTTGCAGTATAATGAATGAAAGTCTGCCAGCAAATCTCAAAGAATGATAAACAACTTTGTCTTCGTCTTTAAACAATAGATGGATGAGCCGTCATAGCTCAGTGGGTAAGGACTGGTCGACCGGGGTTTGTTCTCCGACTGGGCAGAGCGTTTTTCCTCTAGCCTTGCGTCCAGACCGATTCTGGGGCCCACCCAGCCTCCTATGCAACGGTTACCGGGGTCCTTTCCCGGGGATAAGCGCGGTCGGGGCGTGATGCTGACCTCTCAGCCCCATCTAGTGCTGAGGTCGAGACTGAGTAGGAGCTATACTCCCCCCCCCCAAAATGAAGTATAGTAACATAGCTTTACATTTTTACTTTTTACTTTACACAATAGAAATCTAAGGAAATTTATGAATGTAATTTCTGTTACTTCTTATCTGTGTCGTGAACTCATCACAGCTAAAGTGGTATAAGTCAACACTGTAACCAATGAAAGTATGTTTGTAACAGCGGTAATAAAATTATCTAACAAACATACTAGATTACCATGCATTTTACATTTGTATTAACGAGAAACTTAATTTTATATAACATTAAATGAATTTGACCTTTACCACTTTAGCAGTGAGGAGCTTATTTAATAGTTGCCACTGCAGTTCCCTAACGGATATGAGCATAAATTACAACGAACTTAAAGAGCCACTTTCTTCTGTTTCAGAACACTATCACATATTCGTCGGTGACCTGAGTCCGGAAATCGAAACTCAGACACTGAGAGAAGCTTTTGCGCCTTTCGGGGAGATTTCGTAAGTAACCACGATGTGCTGATGTTCTTTTAACCCTTCAAATTAGCTTTCTTGTGTGTTTGTTTCAACTGTGTTCGTTTCAGGTTTGTGGTTGTATAAAATCTAAACTTACAGAGCCTCGAAATGTTACGACTTACTCCCGTGTGATCACGCATTTCAATATGGAATGAAACTCGATATTTCGGAGACTGTCTCCATTTCAAGGTCTGGTGCGGTGACACCGATTGACCGATATACAACATGCAGCATATGCTTAGACGTCACGAAGTTCGGTCTTTTTTCACTGCTGACTGGGGTTTTGTCAAATAGTTGTTTAAGCCAGAACTTTCAAGTTCAGTGTTGCTTAGCCTGGATGTGAAAGCAGCACTTATTAGCTGATATAGAGTACATGTTTGTTTGTTTGTTTGTTTGCATGTTAATGCTTTGTTCTAAGGGAACCCAGTCTTCTTTGATTTGAAACTAGCCAACGTAATAGCGGCTAATGGAACCTTGTACTGTTCACTATATTAACTATTATAATAACGTAACGCAAAATCGACTCTGGCGTTTATTTTATTTTAATTTTAGGATCAAGAAATTGGATTCATGTGGTTTTGCAAATGACCAATTCAGATGTAGAATTTGTTACTTGTTATAACGGTTATAATTAAACTTGTTAAAATTGATCTGGAGCCGAGGACAAGGACGAAAATTGTTCTCGAAACATTGTTCTTTTTTCGCCTTCATTATTAAGCCAAAGATAGTGCCATCATCATTTCAATATTTGAATGTTATTATCTATTAATATTCTTACTTTTGACTTACGAAATTAGGGCATGGGCGATATTTGAGTGTTGTTGATTGCACAGCCCGGTTCTACACGTAGATAAGATAGACAGTAAATCAAAGAAATTATGTATGGAAAATTAAAATTATAACTGTAATTAAACATATGAAACGCATATAATCAAAAATTAAAGCCATTCAAACGAATGTGAGTCTCCGTCCCAGGTCTATCCGTGAAGAATAAAATAGCTTTGCCTTCTTACAACTTCATGAATTGCATCTTTATTTATCACATCGTCCTAGTGCTGACTTGCTCATCTTCATTTGTTTTATTTTTCTTTCCATCAGTTGTTTGCATTTGAACATAGCTCTATTTTTATGTGATTCCCCGTGCATCTCCATTCATCTTTCATTCTAAATTCAGTGTTTAATCATCTTTCTTTGTGTGTATTAACCGTTCCCGTTTTATATCTCGGATCTTTTTATCAAAACGTTTTTTAATCTTCCACTCTGTCTTCCTCTTTTATTCTTTCTTCCAAGTACATACCTGGCGTTCTTTTATTTTCGTCTCTTATTAATTCTTGTTCTGGCAGATGTAGTTCAGTTCATGGTCCATAATTTTAGTTTTGAAATTATAGAGAAAGAGTGAGACTTTACGTCACTCTTTTATGAATTCAAGATGCTTGATGTATTATAAATTAGAATATAATCTATATGAGTATGAGTGTGTACTGCAGATATATGTGATTATTGTTTAATATCTAAAGATTTTTTCATTTGCAAAATGTTGGCTTTTTCTGTAGGACCAGAAACGATTAGACAAAAAATTGCGCAGGTCGGAAATTGTTTTGTTTACATAATTTATTAAGAAATCTGCACTTGTATCGTATTAACACTTTTTAAGCTTACTTGGTGGTATTCCGAAGCGTTTTACTAGTTTTTATTTCAGCTTCATATGAACTGAGATTTAGAGTTAACTTTTACTGAATAAAATAAACTTCGCCTAATATTCTTAGAGTTCGAATACCTTTTGTAATACAGAGTGCACAAATTAAATGTATGCGGTTTTACTGCGACATTCCTCATGAACTAAAAATCACAGGAAAGACACTAAACGCACGCCCTGTTTTAGATATTGTATATATTTTATATTTTAGTACTATTCTTCAGTCGTTGTCTATGTATACCCTTGAGGTTTCTCGACTGAATCTTTGTATGAATTTTACATCTTTCCCAGTCTGTTGTTACATACCCCTTCTATCCCTTCCTTCATTATTTAATCACCCTTATAATAATTTGGTAAAGAGTACAATTTTGAAGCTCCTTATAATGTAATTTCCTCCATCATCATGTTTCTTTCTTAGGTCCTTTATATTCTCCGGGACAGTATCTTCTTTCTCAACAACGGTCATTCTGTTTTCTTCCCTCATAGCGACAGATCATTTAAAACGCGGCACTACCATGTATTATACACGGATGTAATCATCTCTCAGTTTAATTCCGTGCTATTTATTTTTAAGTTAATTTCTCTGCAGAACAGTTTTTTCGTCTATCTTACCCACGTATGGTCCTATGGATTGCCTGTTTTCTTCTTAATTCCATTGCCATCTCTTCATATCTGAATTACAGACTTGTTGAGCCAGCTCTTAGTACGTACACATCTTGAACTCCATTTAATTTCTGCAATGTATCATTAGGTGTAATGTTTGAGATAAGCCTTCGGCAACGTGTTGCTCCTGCCATGCATGTTTAATTAAGCGAGGCAGCTCAGAGGGCGTGTACAAGCTACAAGACAATAATTAGCACGCCCTTGTTGCTTGCGTGCCTCCCCGGCCACTCATGAGAATTAGACAGCTGAATCCATCTATCTGCTAGTGGCCACTATGACGTCATTCGCACCCTAATATCGTAATGCTGCCGTGTAGGAATTAGTAGCAAGTCTTCTCGTGAACACAGGTTGATCTGTCTCCCTTCTTACAGAAACCTTCTGGGTTGCGTTATGTAGTCTGATATAAGTTGACCGACGTTTTAGAGATAGTTGCTGCGTCCATCAGTGCCCATCAGCCTAATGGTGAAGACAATGAATACCTCTGAAACATCGGTAAACTTCCACCAGACTATACGGTGCAACAACCCAGGAGAACCATCTTCGGACTCCCAGCCGTGAGAGACTCAAAGCTTGCAGATACCTGCTGGCTATTGTGTGTATCTGTCTGTTCCTCAATTGAATTGCATGTATTACTATTATTAGCATGCTAACGTCGCTCTATGCTGGTTAGTGTCCTTGCTTCGAATGCGAGAGGTTACAGTTTTGAAGCCCGGATAATATAATCTGTCTTCATGATTTTCTTCTGTCCTCCAAATGATATTTTGGAATAACGTAGTAGAAGAGTACACTATTGATTCCTACCACAACTTCCAAATTCATTAACCTGTGTAGTTTTCAATGCGAGTGTCGGAAGGTGTACTTCAAAGCGAATATATATATCGTCAGTAGGATTTTTAACAATTGCCGTTGAAATCGTTATTACCTGCACAGTTTCGACTGCAAGTATTTACAGATACACACTTAAATTATAGTCGAAAAGCGGTAGCAAAATATCTGCAGTACATTCACTCAAGTCACTTAACAGATGACTTATTTTGAATGAGCATGGATTAGTCATTCAGAAGCTGTAAGCTGCAGAATGTTGCAGTACATCATCCTGTCAGTGCTTTGTTCACGTGTATAATACACCCCCATTTCTTCTTGTGCGCTTCCCAGCGGCATCTACAAAAAAATCGGACTGTACTTGTAGCAGCTATGACAATATTGTCGGCGGCACGAATTTGTCTTGTGTCCCAGTAATACTCGAGTTCATATTTGACGCAGTTAGACTCTTGACACAGAACAAATGAAGATCATTTTTGTGCACAGCCATTCTAATCAAGACCACTGAAGTAAAGTGTTAATATGCATTCAGGACGACATGGAGCAGGTGGAATACGAACATATAAAAAATTAGACTCGAGGCAGGGAAGAGAGCTAAAAGATGCATGGCGACGTTGTGTTCCATACTAGAAGGCACTAATCCAATACTAACACTAGCCTGGTCTTATGCAACCCCCAGACCTCACATCCATCCCTTTCATGGATTGCTCTCCCTCAAACACGGTTTACTGCGTCAACATTTGTCCGGTTAATCCGTAGGAGGGTTCCAACCCGTCTGGGCAGCAGATTGTAAGAGAGAAGTATCGCTCCTACTCATCACCTTGCACAAAGCCGTCCCTAGCTGGCGCTTTGGCTTGGCTTGGCTATGCTTTGCAGACACACAGATACAAGGCAGGCAGGCATCTTCGAAATTGCGTTATCTACTGAGTCATAAGTTCTCTGTTTCAACAGTGAAATCAGGTATAAACCGTCGATTTAAGCACTATTGCAAAATTTGATACCGTTTAATGAAAACAAAAACGTAATTGTAATAGGCTACAGGTATTTTATACACTCTTAATGCAATGCAATTAAGCAATACTGTCAAATTGAATAACACGGCTCATTATTTTGCTATTGTAAAATGTATAAAATTGTGCATATTCTAGACATAAAATATAGAAAATTTAAAATCGTTATTTTTATTTACTAATCTAGAACACCTATGAACAGAAACGACAGGGTCGTGTTCATAATCGTAATTCATAGATTCAAAACCCGGCTGATATTTTTCTGGCCCCATTACAGTTTATTTTGTGTTTGAAAATAGCCACAAAAAATGTTTTAAGTAATTTTTCAGCAGTTGAAGTTGCGTAATTTTTGGTACAGGACGTTCTGCTTACTAAAACCCAGCATGCAGAAGTGTAAAAGACACAAAAATAAATAACTTCGACTGATAGAGTGGAAGTATAATTATTGATATATGACCTCATGCTGTCGAGTTTAGTTCTTGATAATTACATTCTGGAAAAATTTCTCCCCAAACCAAATTTGAAGATAATGAATAATAAATGACATGAGATGGTTATTTTATATTTTCTATGAAGATTGATAATATTTTATAGGTTTTTGTGTGTCCAAAGTGCATGTTATGGAGAGGTGTGAGATTTGAGATTATATTTTAAAGTCAGTGCAGTGAATGCCGTACTTTCTTTTAAACTGAAATTGAACGGTATCACTTTTGAAATATTGTATTTCTCTTTTCCTTTGTTCCTTCCTTTCCCCAGCCCTTCGCTTCACCCATTATCGCACTCCGTTGTCCTGT